AAAAAATCTCACTTGGTGAATTTTTAATTTCTAAATATGTTTTAATTGATTGATGAAAATTTTCAAAAAATAAAATTTCAAAATTTTTTTTCATTTCAAATAAACTTACTTTGATCTTTTGCTAATGTAAGTGCTTCATCAAATGTTTGTTCAGCTTCACGATATTGTCGTAATTTTGTTTGACTATGTGAAACAAGAACTTTAGCATTTAATTGCCATACAGCATCATTAACAGCAACAGCTTCGGTAAATGATCGTTCACCATAACGTTTTGATCTTTCAAAATCACCTAAATAAAATTATTATTGAAGAAAAAATTTTTGTTTTTTTGTCTTTTTCAAACAAACCAAGTCCAAAATGACATTGACCAATTTCATGAAATAGCCAAGCTTTTTCTAATGATGATGTTGCTAAAGGAATTTTTTTTTCCCATACTTGAATAGCTTGTGGAAATTGTCCACTACGTGCATAAACTCGACCCATATTATCCAATGCACGTGATGAACGCTCCGGAAATTGTTTTATGTCAGCAATTTTTAAATCTCGATTATGATATTCTAATGATTTATTATAATCACCTAATTCTAAATAAGCATTTCCTAAACGTGAATAAACATCGGCAAGTACAGATTGTTTTTCATTAAATTTTCTTTCATCTAAACGATCACAGAAATCAAGTAAACGATGTGCACGACGACGTGCATCAACAAATTGATCTTTATTTTGTTCTAAAAAAGAAAAAGAAAAAAAAGAAGTTTTTATACGTTATGAAAAAGAACATTTATTTACGATCATCAATAGCTTCAAGTTCATGACGAATATGTTTATAAGATTCTTCATCACCTTCAAGTTTTTTAATAAATCTTGAACGAGCATAAAGTGGTTCTTGTTGACGCCAAAAATCTGTTCGACTATCCAAATAATCAAGTCCATCTGATGCTAATTGATAAATAGCATCACCTGTTTTTGTATTTGGTTTTGTAACAACTATAATATGAAAATTTTAGTTTTCAAAAAATAAAATGATAAATGAATAAAAACACAAAATATTTACCTGTATTATTAATAATTTTTTCAAGAAAAGCTCGATCTTCATAAAGATCACCTAAAAGTTGTTTAGTTGTTTTTGGATTAGAAACAGGTGTATGTTGTTTCCGTTGAATAACAGCTTCTTTCTTTTGTGAAGCACGCACATAACCCATTGGTTGTTTTTTTTTCTATTAGTAGTTTGTAAAAAAAAAATAATAAAACTATGAATTAATATTCTATAGAGAAAAAAAAACATTAAGCGTTTTCTTTATTAGCATTTTAATCACATGTTAATAGCTAGATTCAAATTAGAGAAAGATCACCTTTTTGGCTTCGTCCTGTGAAATGACATGCATGTGTGCAGAAGTCTTATTTAATTTATATGTTTTACCTCATCATTCTTGTAAAAAATTGATAAATCACCACTAGCTTCAAGTTTAACACGATTTGGATCTTAATTTAAAAGGAAAAAAAATAATAATAAGGTTTAAAATAAGGTTTTTTTTCCAATAAATTAATACCTCCAACTGAATTATCAATAGCTTCTTGAGCTTTGTTAATACCTAATTGGAATTCTCGAAGATCAGATCGAAGTTTTTTACCACGATGATAAAACATTAATGCCAATTCAAATTCACCCATTGCATAAAGAGCTTCGGCTTTTTGATATAAACCCTTTAGAATAATCGAACAGTAGAAAAAAAACAAAGGAACCATCCATAAAGGTTGGTCTGAGAAAGTGGAAGGGAATCAGAAAAAAAGCGAACATTTCCAAGATAGGGGAAGGGGTGACATTGGACATATTCAGACGTCCCAACATTTATTATAATTGATTTTTCTCCTCTGTTATAAATATTTTTCAAGTTAAACTGGTTTTGATTAGCATTTCGAACAGAGCAAATTCTCAAAATTTAATGATGCATCATCTACAAATAAATCATGAATAGTGGATATACATAAATTGATCGCAATGCTGAAAAATAAAATCGGTAAAAATATGTCCTAGCATTAAAGAGAAATAACTCAGAGAGATCAAGAAGATAACTAACAATGTATTCAAGGACAACAAACATTAGATATAAGTGTAAATACGAATGTTTAGGAAACTATTTTAATTGAGCATAAAGCCTCACACGAGAACAAGTAGTAATTGCTTTAAAAATTTCCCATAGCCCATATAGTTTTTCCTTCTTTGAAGCCTCTGTCTCTGTGATTTTTTGTTATTCGATAATGAATATACTTTTTGCCTTTTAGTAACATTTCGATAAATTCAGAATATGAATATCAACATTAATTTACTATTTAACAACAAGATCATCTAAGAATCCATTTCATGGAATAGATCTTCATTTTTCACATGCTGTGCTCATCCTCGCATGGTGCCATGTGAGATTAAATCGCATGCCTGGAAAGTGAGTTAAGAATTACTCTTCTGTCAAGCATGCGACCAATTGATCATCCACTGAACGTGATGACAGCAGTTGTTCAAACCCGAGCCAGAGGCAAAAAATGCTATCTTTCCTAGACCGTCTTTTATGAATGGTCAAAAAGAAAACAAGAAAAAAAGTTTACTTTTGTAAATTCTTTATTGGTTTTTAAGGATTGTTCAGCATCCTGTAATGCTAAATCATTTTTTCCAATTTTTAAATAACATGCTGATCGTGCAACTAAACCATTTAATCGATCATTAGTATCTTTTTCCGTTGCTTTCTCTTCATCTTGTGGTAAAAGATCAAGTGCCTGAATATTTTATTTTTCTATTATATCTTTAATAATTTAAATAAGTTTACCTCGGTATAACATTGAATAGCTTTAGTATAAAGTTTATCACGAGAAAATTTTTCACCTTCGCCCATTAATGCTTGAAAACTTTTTAATGGACCTTTCGCTTCCGAAGAAACGCTCATTTCGTCGTCTTTTTTTACCATCGTTCGTCTTAATGTTTGATGTATGTAAAAAATAATGTTCCCTTTGTTTCAAAGCGACCGAATCTTGTTGAGAATAACAACCATTTTCAATTTACATACACTGCTAAACAACAGCACCTACATTGTTTTTCTTTCTTCTATAGAGACCGCTCATTGTCAATCAATTTTTTTTTTGTGTTGCAAACTCCTGAATGGATAAAAAGCAACAACCATGATTGAAATAAATGCATGTTAACATCAAATATTTTGTATCTATCTTGATATATTAACAATTCTGAATTTCAATAGACAAAAAAAACTTCGAATCGATAATACAATCATTTTCTTTTCTTCAACAAAATATTTAAATGAAAAACACTACTTTACCATCGATGAGATCATCAAAACTATCAACGTTTTTTTTTCTACAAAAGAAAGTTGTTAGCATAATTTCTACCGGATTAAAATGTGAAACACGATCAAACTTCTTAAATGGCAAGTGAAGGAATTTACAAACATATATTTTGATTTGTAACTTACTATCCATTGTTAATGTGTGTTGATTATAAAAGATGTTATTACAGTGAGCGTGAAACAAAGGCAAAAAACAATGATCTTTAATTCAATCGTTTTCCACGATAATTCTACAGTGGACTTCAATTTTTTTTGCTCCTATGTCTCTCATGCTCTATGATGGTCTGTCGGTAGAGTTCGACAACTTCGGCTTGGTTCCCAAACTATTATGTGAAACCGAAACAGTTAAATCATAAGATAGATAGATACGAAAATTTTAAATCTATTTTGAGAAATTTTCACTATTAAATTGTTGAGATTAAAGATGTCACATATTTCAATACTGAAACAAAACAACATTAACACACATATTGAAATCTTTTATGTTAAGAATGAAAAAAATCAAGATTTCTCGATATAGATTGAAGAATTTTTACATGTATTTGATTATTTAACGGTTAGGTAGTTCTTTTTCGATGGTTCCAGTTTTTTGGAACCATTAAACCCTATCTATCGGTCCTGTCCGCATGAAGGAGAGTCGAGGTGGATAGATGCAACTTGCTAATATGAATGTCTCTTTGATGGTTTTTTTTTCTTTAAAAGTATACATGAGTAAATAAAGTCGTATGTTTTTGTTCATTACTTAACGTATGAAGAACAAACTTGTTATTTTATTTAAGAGTAAAAATACTTGACTGTTTTACTGATATAACTCCGACATTGGCTTTGACGCAAGGCTCTATTTCTACCTCTATACTTCAACACTACTTCTAAATTTTGTTTAACAAAATAGAACATATTTGTATTGTTTCATTGATTGAAATTGTAACTCTTCAAGTCCAAAAATTCACTACTAATACAATTATTAAATGAGAATATGAGAAAAAAAACTAACTTCAATATTGTTTCTTCATGATTCATCAAGATTACAAAGTATACAAATTCATCAAGGTGTGCAATTGTTAATCTCAGTCATTATTTACCAATAAATACCTGACTTTTTTATCATTATAAAAAAAAACAATTTGTATGGCTGCTAATGTCTATAGACTTTAAGAAAATGTCATCAACGATATTTCATTTTTGTGATCATTCTAAATAATCGACATTTGTGATTTCATTTGCTTTTAAAAAAGAAAAAAAACCTCATCATCATTGTCAAATAAAATTTTACTTATTTCTATAGATATCGCAAGTTGTCAAAATAAAATATTTAAAACTTGATTCGTTAAATTCTAAATCAAGATTGGTTGAAAGAACAGTAAAAAAAAGGGCAGAGAAGAAGAAATTGAAAAGAAAACGAAAGAGAAAGCTTAAATTTCTCTTTACGGGTTCCTACACGCGTTTGCGCGTGATGAATGCCATGATCTTCATAATTGTTATAAAACACGCTCGTGTCAACATTCGCTTACCATATTATTACTCAACCTGGCGTCTTCCGATATTTCACATCATATATCCGATGAACTCTATTATCCAAATCGACAGTTTTTAAAACAATATATTAGTTTAGCAATAAGTGGAAATGACAATAGATTATTAACAACAAATATGACTCCACCCGTAGGCGATAATGGACTTTCATGTTTAAATTCAACACTTTCATCTATAAATCCAGTTAATCAAACAAATACAAATAATATTGATGAATGGCTTTCACTTGATTCAAATAATGGTTTTATCCGTTTATATGATCCAAACGATGCATCAACATCATACTCACGTTCAAAACTTGTACCATGTACAATGTGGACAACAATTGAACAAATATGTTCAAGATTAAATAATGATTTAGATCCACGAACATGGTATGTTCAGTATCATGGCGATCGTATTCGTCATTTAAGATCCGATGAAGCACCCTTATTTATTCAACATAATTATCTTCTTTCAATTGGATTTTCAAGTGTTCAACGTTTACAACAAGAAGGTGATAAACATGATCTTGGCTATCTTATTCGTTTTATATCTGGTAAAAGATAAAACTTTTTATTTGTTTCTATTTATATAAATATTTATTTAAGATCAATTAATAATTGATCCAAAAATTCAACCTCGAAGTTTATCAACAATAGCCTGGATCCGTAAAGGAAAATTAATACGAAAATGGATTAAACGAAAATGTGTTATATCAACTAGTCGTTTAACAGTTTATCCCGGTTTGTAAATAATTAAATAAATTTCATTAAAAAAAAATTCTTTTTATTTTCTTCTAGATGCAAATACAAATCCATGTGTTCTTGAATTACAACGAGCAAATGTTGAAGAAGTTCATCTTAAAGATAAACCATTTTGTATTAAATTAACAGTTGATGATGGACGAGGTGGTGCTTTATTTCTTGCTTTGAATAATGATGAAGAATATAGCCGATGGCTTAAACGTTTACGAAAAGTATTTATTTTTGTTTTTTTTTTATAAAATCAAATTCAACATTTAATATTTCGTTTGTTTGTTTTTTTTTTCGTGTTAGACAACAAATAAATTGCCTGATATTGCTGATTACTCCTCAAGTCATCTTGAACTAATACCAAAAGCTTTATTTGTTAATCCAAAATTAACTGTACTCAATTTACGACATAATAATTTACTTATGAGACCAGTGAATGAAGCAGTTTTTACTGTTGGTATGTCTTTAGAAAAATAATTTTATGTCTGTGTTTTTTTTCTTTAATGTCCCTAAAGAAAAGACATTTAGTATGGTTTCATACTTAATTTTTAACTGGCAAGATGATTTTAACAGTTCCATCGGAAACCTTTCATATTCGACAAACAATTAGATTTTTATACTAAATATATTTTATAGGGAAGAAAAAAAAAGAATGATTATCTAATCAGAGAATACTCATAAATGATTATGTTTATAGATAGAGGTAATTCTTCAAGGTTTCTATTATTATTTCGAATAAATAATTTTTATCGAAATGATTCAAGACCATTTCGAGTAATTAGTTTTTCAAAAGTTGACAAAGCAATAATTATGTTATTTCATTTAATCATTATCCAGAGAGTTTTTGTTTTTCGACAACACGACTTATTTCACTTTTTAAATGGAAAAATAGTACGAAAAATGAATTGGTTAGACTAACTACAAAAGTTTTTTGTAGGATATATTTGAAAAAAAAAAAATTTGAATTTTTATAAAAATTAAACTTACTTCAGTAATCTGCATAAACTTAACTGTTTCATTGCTCATTACTAGAAAATGACTCATGAGGAAACTACTCGAACTGATACCTGCCGTTGAAGCTCATATTGGATTCGCAAGAAGGTCTCAGTAAGACTAGAAAAATCTTACAAAAATTCGTGCCAACGGATCTCTGAAGCCATGTTATGACTATTTTGTTGAATTTCGAAGGTATTTACTGAAAAACCAAGTAATGGAATTTCGACCTGAAATTTTATTCATAGATAAGTTTCAAGATTCTAGGGATGTTCTGAAAGTTTTCGTCCGAAAAGATGTTCCTTTGACGAAATATTCAATTTTCAAGTAAATCTGTATCCTGGCTGTGACATGCAATTATTTTTGAGAATTTGATATCTCAACAAAAGTAATATTCTTTCTGTCTGAAACTTTCAGTATATGTTACGTGTTATTCGATCCTTCTATGAGTCAAACTGTACGTCAAAATTTCGTTTCTTAGATTTTTCGAAATATATCTTAAACGAAGTAGAACGTTCAATGAAATGACCGTATTTTGGCTTCAAAGATTCATGAGGATGAACACTTTTAGGTTTTTATTAGTCTCATTAGGACGTCCTTGTGAACTTAATATGAGCCAAAGTTGAGACGGGGAGAATATTTTATTTCCCGCCTCCTCTCGTTCCGCCCCGCCACGACCTTAATTTTTTTCTTCGCTGTCTCATCACGCCTATTTAAGATGTTTGTATTTTTTGATCATATGATTTGTTTCATTACATATTGCAAAAAAATAGATATATGAGTACAAAAAAAGATAAGCACATGTTCACAAAAACGATTTAGTTCGAGATCAATCAATCTTTTACTTTGTTATTCTCCATCGAATGAAGAAATAAAATATTATTAACATTTGTTAGGCTTAAATTATTTGTTCTTTGGTTGATAACTTAACTTATTGCCGAAAACTCTCTTTTGACAGTAGTTGAACTGCATAGTATTGAGTATATACGATATTCTAATTAACCTCGCCGTGTCCTAATCTCTTCTCGCTCTATTTCAGCCTCTGATATGAGCTCAATCAGAAAGTATCCGTTTTAATGGTTGCCACGTAAATGAAAATATCTTTGTTCATTTCTCGCGAAAACATGACGAACTAAAACATAACTGGTAAATATTGACAGCTAATCTTCGCTTGACTATGCAAGATACTAAACGATTACCTGTCAGTTTTTTTCTCAATGTGAATCACATGAATAGTTTATATGTACAAAGAAGAATTCATTGCTTTCTCATATTTGTACTGCTATGACAACCGTAATCATATCGAACTGTAGTTACAATCATAGCTTAATACTACAAACACATCTTCATAATGATAAAATTCTTTAAAGATAAAGTATAGCATAGCTTTCTCTAAAAGCAAAAATGTTGAAGCACAATACTAGCTTATTTCTTCTCGAAATATTCTATATCTCTTGTTTATATATCCGTAAAATCACTTCACCTAGCAGACATTTAGTCAATATCGTGAAGATGAGAGTGGATAATAGTTAAAATGTACGGCAACTTTTTTACGTGACTATCAAGATATGAACATACAGATCAGTAGATAAAGAGTAATGACAAAAGCAAAACTTGATTTTATTTGTTCGATTATTTAGAATCAATCGTTTTTCAAGAAAGAATTAATACTGAAGCTTTTTAGACTCTGAGATGCTATGCAGGATCGAGTTGAAAAGTTTTATAGGCATTAGACACTGTCTGGAGCGACTATCTTTTTATTTTTGTCCTTCCAATAAAGAAGCTAGCATATGAAAAGTGTCCTGAAAAATGCACGATTGTTTTCAATAGAGCTACCAAAAATCAACAAAACAATACTTTTTGAAATAAAACAAACTATCTATTCCAAATAGTTTATAGTATATGTGGAAAAAGTTCTAGTTCAATCGAATCTACTGAATCGAAGAAACGAAGATTTTTCTGCACTGTTTTTAATGAAAAATTTGGTTTGAGAAAAATGCGAAACAATATACAGTTTTCACTAATTTGATTTCTTCTTGAATTTTTTAACGTTTAAGGATAACTTTTGCATCCCAAAATGTACTCAATAGAAGGATACTACTTCAGACTATACAATGGTCAAAAGAAATATATATTAGGTCACGAAAAGGGAGACGTACTCTTGAAAATTTATTGCTTCACAATGGACGATTTCTACCAGGCAGGTGGACATGACTTATTTTCTGTCAAAAAAGAAGAGTTTTTCTCATAGAAATATTAGCTTCTTGTACTCAAAAATAAGATTGATGATAACGAGACGATTTGGGATAGAAACTTCCTAAGGGAAACTCTTGCCCTAAACTCCAGTGAAAAAACCATTATTATAAAAATTAACAAAGAGTACATCACTCGATGGAGTTTTTCATGCTGATTCAAAATATGTTTTTATTCTTCTCTAAGAATACTTTTGTAACAAAAAATCTCGAAAAACGTCTAAAAAATCTAGGTTTTTAGAAAGTCTGTATCTTAGTTCAGAGGACTTCATGCACCTTTGCGCTAATTGAGTTTATGTCCCAAATAGAGAAGACCATTCTCTGAAAGTTTTATCAATATTGGATTAGTGGGAAAAACTTCCGACCAACTTTTCTGAAAATGTCTTTTGGGAAAACGCTTACGAGTGAATTACATCAAGTGACATCCATCGTTTAAGCTCATGTTTAAAATCTTGAATTCAACGTCGCTCATACGACAAATTCCATCTACCAGTTAAATATAAATTGCAATGGTAAATCAATGTTTAATAAAAACTTTATTTTGTTTTAGGTTGGCTAGATGATTTAACACGTTTTCAACATTTAATAAGTTTAAATTTAGCTGATAATGATTTAAAAATATTTCCTAATCTTATATGTCATCTTCCCCGTCTAATTGAATTAAATCTTGCTAGTAATTATATTGAATCAATTCCATCTGATATTATCAAATTACAATCGTAAATTATTTTTATTAAAATTTTAATTCAAAAAAAAAAATTTGTTATATATTTTTAGTTTAGAAGTTCTTAATTTACAAAGTAATCGTTTATTATGTTTACCAAATGAAATGGAATATCTCAAAAGATTACGTGATGTTTATTTAAGTTTTAATTTATTTAAAGATATTCCAATACCATTAGCACGTTTAACAAATATTCGTTATTCAGATGTTAATAATTTATGTTTAGCTGGAAATCATATTCGAAAATTATCAAATGAAGTTATACAACAGTAAATAATTTTAAGAACAAAAAAAAACAAAATTATTTTCTAATTTGAAACATTTTTCTGTTTAGTCTTGAATATTGTCGTCAATTAGATTTACGTATGAATCAAATTAAATATGATGATAATGATTTCATTTTATTAAATCAATTAATTAATTTAACACATATTGATATTTCACATAATCATCGTATAAATGAAATTGATTTACGTTTATTAAGTAAACTTGAACAAATACATTGTTCATATAATAATACATTACGTTTAATATTAAATGGTCATTCATTAAAACAATTAAATGCTTCACATAATAGTAAAATTTATTTCGTTTGTTGTTCTGTTTTGTTTTATAATTCATTTTTTTAGAATTAAAACATATCGATGTAGTTAATCCACCGATGAATTTAATTCAATTGGATATAGGCTTGTAAGATTTTATGAAATTTTCTTATTAAGAATTGAATGTCGTTTTTTGTAAAACACAATCTAAAAGTCAGGGTTAGATGAGTCCAGTGAAAATGTTTTTGCTGTTTTTGTCGTTTTCTGTTGATTTTGATAAAGAACGTTAACAACAGGTTTTTCATGACATGAAATCTAGCTCCTAGTTTTTATGCACAAAAGAAAATAAAGTTGCATCGTACAGTAAAAAAGATCATTTTTTTTTATAAACGAAAACCTAAACTTATTTATAAAAATCTTAATTGACAAGTGTCTGGATTCCGTGGGTACTGATGTTATGAGACTCTCCAAAGTGCAACTTCACTCACAGAACCCTCGAAACTCATAGAATTCAAGACTTTGTTGAAATTTAAATAATAGATCAATCCTAGCATTTCTAATGAAATTGGCATCATCACACTTTGCTTACCCCTAAAAATTTTTACAAAACTGCAGTAATGTTTTACATCCAGGAATTTGGGATACTAGAAATATCATGAGAGATGGCGAATATATAGTACAATCTTTTTCGTGAATATTCAAATATGAATGTGGCTGTGGGTGTAGAGAGAACCAAAACTCACGCCCACACCCTTCCGAGAATCCTGTGAGTGAAGTTGTACTTTGAGAGTTTTAGAAATTCAGGACTCATGGAATCCGGCTACGGACTGTGGCAGGTGCTAGTCGGAGACCAGTATTTTATCCAACGTAGAGGCGACGCCTTTGCAGAGATCTAGTCGGCTCTCCTGAAGTTTGTGGTTATTGTACCACATACTGCTCTCCTAGAGCTTTAAATCATTTTCGTATTGTATTTCTGAAGGATTAAGTAATAGTATGGTGAAGAAGTGTGCCCCAAAATAGATAGAATAAAACAATCTTCCTGTGATTAGTAACAGCAATTACATCGTGTATCATATTTTAATTTCGTTAGAATTCTACTAACATTTTTTCCTTTATTAATTAGCAATGAATTCCAAACTCTTCCCGATTGGTTAAATGAAGACAATTCATCATTAGAACGACTTATTGCTGATCATAATCGAATTAATGTTTTACCTAATAAGTAAAATTTTTCTTTTGAAAAACAAAAAAATCTAATTGCAAAAACAAATTTGTTTTTTTTCTTTCTTTATTTCTATAGATTATTTACAACAAGTAAACGTCTTCAATATATTCGATTAGATCATAATTGTTTATTATATCTTCCGGAGAAAATTTCCAATTGTAATATAGAAACACTTTTACTTCATTGTAATCAAATTGAACATTTACCTACTTGTTTATTAAAAAATATGCATCGATTAAAAATTTTAAATTTAAGTCATAATCAACTTATATCATTACCATTACCAAATGATCGTAGTGATTTAAATCGTTTACAAGAACTTTATTTATCATGTAATGAATTAGATGATGATGTATTTGCAATAATATCACGTTATGAACGATTAAAAATTCTTCATTTAGCTTATAATAAAATTGAACAAATTGATGATACGTAAGAAAGATTTGCGTATTTTTTCTTCTTTCTTTATATGAATTTTATTATTGTTTTAGTTCATTAAGTAAATTAAATTCTTTAACAGATTTAAATTTATCAGGAAATAATATTCGATCATTACCACAAAATGCATTATCATCTCTAGAAAATTTACAAGTATTATGTCTTCATTCAAATAAACTACGTGCAATACCTGATTTACGTCGATTAAATTCACTTAAAGTAAATAAGAAATTGAATTTTTAATGAAGAACTTAGTTTTTTTTTTGACTTTAAGATAAATAGTTGTTTGATAGTATTGTTCATTTTACTGTATTTTTTCTTTTATATTTGAATTATTTTTTATCAAAAACTGATTGAATTTTTTCTAGGTATTGGATTTAAGTTTTAATGCAATTGATTCAGCTTCTATTGATAATTTATTTCCACCATCATTAACAATACTTGATTTATCTGGCAATCAAACAATTAATATTCAACGAGACAGTTTGAGATCGTTAAGGTATGATTTAGATATTGAATTCTGCATTACGAAAGTTTCTTTTTCCTTGTAAAGTCTATTGGATTTGTATCCTAGCTAAAAAGAAAAGACATTTAAGAAATCGAGTTCAGGTGCAAAAATTTTATTTCCGACAAAATCTTCTAATACTACAGAGAATACTACATGAGATTTTGTTCATTGAAAGATGAACTTACTAAAATATTCTCATATTATTGAAGTTCGCCGAGAGATTAAATTCACAAGCAATGTTGAAGTATAAGGATAGAAATTTGCATCCCTTGAGATGCAACGAAGTGCGATTCAAGGTAGTATGTAATAAAATGATGAACAAGAAGAGAAATAAATGCGAGAGCACTAGAATAATGTGAATAGATGAAGAAGTGAATGACTGATGATAGCAATCAACAAGTTTCACAGTGAAATAAAAATGTGCATGATGAAAAACGAATATAATAATGTATGAATTATTGTAACCCACGAGAAAATATGAATAAAAATGTAAACACAACAAATAGAAAGAGAGAACATAGATGAAGGCTATTATCGTGGCACACCTTGTCTTACAAATTGTGACAGACACTTTGGTATTACTGTTTCCTCTTTACACACTGCGTCACATGTACACGCGAAATCGAAGTCTACTGCAGGGTTAGTATGAAACACGAATAACTTGTAAGATGCTTGTCATTGATCCCTCTTTCTCATTCAGTAGTATAACATACGTTGGTATATTGCCTGATTTACAACATCAGTAGTTCCATGTTGTTTAACATTTTCATCGCACACAAACTTCTCTAACAATTTGTTTTTTTTTAAAATTTTAGTCAAAAAACTGTTTCTTTAATAAATATATCTGGATTATCAGATACATCATCAGATACGTCATTATGGTCAGTTGGTTTTGCTCAAAGTTCTGGTAGTCGAAATAGGTTTGTAATGATAATCATACATAATCTATAAATGATTTTATTTTGAATATATTTAGATTAGCAATAACAACTGTCAATGAAGCATCATTTAATTATTCAACTAATGATGCTTTATTCGCAATGTTTGATGGTGGTTTAAATAATGAAGTACCACTTATTCTTAAAAATAAATTACCTGATATTCTTCAATATGAATATGGACAATGTAATCAAGCAAATATTTATCTTAAACATACATTTCTTACATTACAAAAGTTAGTTTGTATTTTTTTATTTAATTATATATAATTTTGTTTTTCTTTCAGACGATTAAAAACAACTGGACAACGTTTAGGTGCAGCATCAACTGTTATTCATATACGTAGTATATCACAATCGAATACAATAAATTCAAATATTTATTCATCAAATACAACAACAACATCTTCATCATCATCTCAAACAGAAAATAATTTTCGTTATGAATTAAATGCAGCTAATGTTGGTCATTGTGAAGCTATACTTTGTCGTTCATCAATAATACATCCATTAACACGTCGTTTTACAATTCCACATGATGAAAGTGAATGTAAACGTGTACGAAAAACATCAAATATAATTATTAATGAAGATAATGCATTAAATGCAATAACCTCTCAAACAAGAATGTTAGGTTGTTCATTTCTCTATCCAGCTATTTTACCAACACCACATATATCATCATTTATTTTAAGTAAAAATGATGAATTTTTTATTATTGCAAATAATTTATTATGGCAGGTAAATGAATAAAAAGAATTTTTTTTTTTGGTTTAAAATTCTTTCAATAATTTCTTCTTTTTTTTTTTCTTTTGTAAAGCATCTTTCGCATGAAGAAGCTGTACGTGCTGTACGTTCAATACATAATCCTGTACTTGCATCAAAAAAACTTGTTGATATAGCACAAAGTTATGGTGCAAAAGAAAATTTAGCAGTATTAATTGTTAGATTTAATTTTCAAAAAAAAATTCATCATATATCAAATAATTCTTATCAACAACAAAGATTATCACGTCAACAAACTTATTCAACGAATACAAGTTCAGGTATATGAAAATTTTGTTTGTTGAGATTTTTGTTTTTCATAGATTTATATTGATCAATCATATTACATATGAGAATTTTTACTATAGTGAAGATTTTTTTTTGTACACCGCTGCAAAGTTGTTCACCAATGTTTTATCCAGATTTTCTCTTCCGAAAGGACGATTTAAAACTTCACGAGAACGAAAATTTATTTTTGGAAGTACAGACTAGAGATATACGGGACCAAGTTTTTTTTATTTTGGTCCCGTTAACTTCTTTTCTAATGGTTCTGATCTGGAGAATATTATTTCAGAATTTATTCGTATCGTATATTAAAAAAATCTTCAATACTTATTTTTTTATTTATTTAGTCGACTACTAGCACTTTTTGGGTTATCTCACTTGAATTATATCGTGATTGATATGATGTATAAGATAATTTGCTTCAAACCATAAAATGTTTATGTATAATGTTTAGTTCCGATTGGAATAACTTTTGTCCCGTAGTCCCCATCCTGATCCTAGCAGATTCTCTTTCACGGTGGTCCCGACAAATTTTTTTTTAGTAGTCTCAGTCTCGGTGTGGCCTAGAGATATGTGCAGGATAAGAGTAAGAAAATTTTTCTCAGTCGGGGTGCCAGGTACAAAAAAAGCTTATCCTGTACATCTCTAGTCTAGTCTCGGCAAACCTTCAGATTTTGGTTTCAGTCCCAATCCCACACATCTCTAGTACAAACACATAGTACGTGGTGCAAAAACCACAAACTTCGAAAGGGTCAAATTAATCTTCGGGGAGGCGCCAACCTCTCAGTCTCCATAATATGTAAAGCACGGCTTCTATTATCTTTATATATAGTGAATAGTATACTTTATATAGACTTGAAAATTTATAGGTCGAATAAAATATAATGTTTTAAAGACGTATGACATTATAAATAAGAATGATTTTCAACTGAATTCGGCATTGCCTCTTTGAGATTTCTATCTGCATTTCTGTTGATATTCAGTATGGAAATATCATATATTCACATGCGTATGAATTTATTGTCTATCATTTTCTACTAAATCTATGAACAATAAATATTGCCATTATTTATAGTATAATCGTCTTTTTTTTTGTATGTCATCCTGTTATCGTTTATTGGATCTTTTTAAAATATTCCGTTTGTTTTTTTTTTCTCTGATAAATAACAAATAATTACTCTTGTTTTGCAAATTCTATAGGTGAACATTCTCCAGTAGCAAGTCCATTATTACCATTATTAGATTCAACAGGTTATTTAAGTGTTGGTGAATTAAGTGGCGGTGATGAAGATGATTCGAATGAAGAACATTATTCATCAACTATACCAACAAATCCTACCAGTGATTATTTTTATCATCAATCTGATCAAATATCATCATCAAGTGAAGCTTTAGCAACATTAAATGATTCAACAAGAAATCGTCTTCTTTCACATAGTGGTCGAACACGTTTTTTGACTGCATCACTTAATGATACATCAACCATAGATGATAGGAAAAATGAAAAAGTCTTTCAATCTGATATGGGAATGTTTAATTTTCCTGCATCAAATGCTCAACCTATACGAATAGTACCAAGTGATTTAACAATTGTTAGTGAAATTCTTTCACCATCACCACCACCAACAACAGCAACATTATCAAGAACAAAACGAATTAAAAATCCATCATTAACGGGCGATTGGTAATTATTTAATCTTAAGCAAACAAAAAAAAACAAGAAATACATTTACTGTTCTTTTTTTTTCTATTTTTAGTCCATCACCAAGACGATCAGGTCGTTATCGAAAAAAATTAACACCTCCTGTTCGTCCACCATTAGGTTATTCTAAACCACCACGAACTGAGTATTCGAGTAACAGTGATATATCAAATGATGGACATGATTTTGATCATTCACCAATATATCCAGCTGGATCCCGTCCTGTAGCTGATGCTATTTTATCAACATCGTCAAGTAATGATGAAGATGATGATTTTTCATATGTTGCTGATCAAATAAGTTTAACATCAACAAATACAACAACAGATTGTCAACAACAACAAAATGAATTAAATTTATTTGTACGAAAACATTATCCATCAATTTCATCAACAACACATTCAACTGTTAATAGTACATTAACATCATCATCTGTTGGAACGAATATTCCACCACCTATTCCAAATAAAATTACTCGACTTTAATCAACGAATTTATGATTTTTCGGTTTTCTGTGTTTTATTATTATTATTATTATTCTCTTATTTACCAGTATTTATTCTTTACTAACAAATACATTTCTTAAATCTCGCTTTTTTTTTTACTTGTTTGTGTTTTTTTTATACTTTTGTTGTTTTTGTTTTTATGAATGATCATTTATTTGGATATTGATAAATGTACATTGGTTGTTCAAAATTATTCAATATCTTTATATAATCTTCGCATTCAGTATCACTTAAGATCTTTAATTATGTTTAAACAATAAATAACCGTTTGACTTATGTAATAGGGATGGTTTTCAAAATAAATTTTTAATAAAGCGAACAAACAAAAAAAAAGACCTTTTAATTTATTTTCAAATGAATATAAAAAAATTTCATTAAGTCTTAGTATGATTATTTCGATCAAAAACGAAAGAAACAATCTTAATAAACTATATTGATTTTGTTTTAATTGAAATTTATCTCTTGATAAATAGAAAATTACTTTAATACACAGGGTGATAAAGAATTCTGAGCTCTGTCAGAATATATAGTTACTTGCCTTAAAATGTAGTTTTATATTGGCGATATAATTCTACTAATCCAAATGCTCAGAACTTATGTGCCAATGCAATAATAAAATTTCACCAATCATCAATATCCCCATGTCTCCATCATCGAAAAAAAATACAAATTCATTGTAAAAAAACTGAATTTACTCATATATAAAATTTCACTAATCATCAATGTCCCCATCTTCCCATCATCAAAAAAAATTACTAGTTTATTATCACATAAAAAAATACTAAGCGTCTTATATCTTTGTCCCTAAATAAACTAAAGAAAACTTTAAATTTTGAACAAGCAAATGGACTTATATCTTTATAAAAAATATCTTCTTTTGCAAAATCAAAAGTAGCAATTTCAATCTCAACTAGATTCCAAACTCACCTCCCACATCTATATTCAAACAAATTCAAAATGATTATTTAAATTTACAAAATTTATTTTCGGATCTATTAAATTTTTGTAAATTGATCACCACTAGTTCACATTGCTACATGTAAATATTCGATTTTCCTTGCCACTATTTTATGTGAACAGATACTTTTATGGTCGGTTACTTTCGCCGGATTTTTGCCTGTGTGGCTGTAAAATTTATCCAGTCAGTTGTTGACCAGACAGATTCTTTAACTAACCGAATCGGATCGAACAGAAAAAACTGTCCGATTCTAACTCTGTTATACGGACATTGATTCTAGACTGCACCATTGTTTTCAACTCGAATATAACCTTTTTTGTGAATACGAACACGTATGGTTACTTTAATTTTTACTTATACAAAATGTTTCATGATTAAATATCATGGTAACTATCGTTATCTTTTACAATCAAAACCAAGGTAACCATAGGTGTTTGTGCGCGTTTCCATTTTTATAAATACCTATAAATTTCTCGGGTTATTTTAGTTAAAATAAAAAGAAAAATCTACTTTCATATTTATTGATGATTTTAAGTCATATTTTAAAGGTTAAATTTATGCTATTCAATAGTCACAATTTATAGTTAAGAATGATAAAGGTTATTTGCATTAAAGTGATAAGAATATTTATCAAATTACACATTCATTTTTCTTGTACATGTGACTGGTGAGTTTAGAATTTAATTGAAATTGGAATAATATGTTTTGTAATACTGCAATTCAAAATATCATGAATGTATAAACAAAAAAAAGCTTGTTCATTGTATTCTGAAGTTTGCATAACAATAGAGATGTTTTTAGATTGTTACCAGGGAGTTAAAAAAATCAAAACAATGTCATTAAAATGATGAAATGGATAAAAAAAATTGATTTATTTCAAATTCATCGATTAAAATAGACATTTTCATTAATCTCATTGCATGATTTTGATTAAAAATGAAATTCATTGCATTTGCTTAATTAGAATGTTGCTTTTCATCAATGAATTTAGAAAACATTAATTTTTGGGACATTGAATAATTAATAGAATTTTGTGAAAAAAAAAATGTTGTTTTTTTTCTAAAGTATTTATTAACACGAACAGGAGATTACTGTGGACAATTTATTAAAAAAAAGGGTGTATTGCAGTAGATGTATGTCTTATAATTATGATATTCGAGCCAAGGGGGAAAGTGCAGGTACCAAGTGCCAAATTGTACTTGATGGTGCTGAGGTGCTGAAAAGGTGCTGAAAAGGTGCTGAGGTGCTGAAAAGGTGCTGAAAAGGTGCTGAGGTGCTGAAAAGGTGCTGAAAAGGTGCTGAGGTGCTGAAAAGGTGCTGAAAAGGTGCTGAGGTGCTGAGAAGGTGCTAAGGTGCTGAGAAGGTGCTGAGGTGCTTATAGAATTTAGAAGATATTATATGTTTTAACGGCTATTATTCACATAGTCTAACAGCGTTCTCTATTAGATTTATTTCGATATCATAATCCTATTGAATATTCTCTGTGTCCAATGAGAAAGGAGGTGTGTCAAATTCCTATTTCGGCGTACCAAAAACTTTGACTCTAATTTTATCAGTGCTAGAATTAGCATTGAGCCCTGATTCTTTTTCACGAGTTTATTTTACACGTTCTCATGATTCGATTTTTCGACCCCTGGGATTCCCCAAGGATCAAAAAAAAATTTATCCAGAATCTATTAGAAGTCCTTACAGTTTTATAGAACTAAGTGTGCTGATTCCAAATATCATGTTTTTTTTAAAGATTAATAGGGAAATAAGAAAAAGCCGAAGTACTTTATGAGAGGCCTAAAAACCAGTTTTTGACCTAAAAGTCCATGGAAATCTCATTTAGATTCATTGAAAATAGGCTCATTCGACGCAGAATTTTTTTCTCTGCCAGAATCTATAAGAATCTTTTAGGTATTGAAAACTTTTTCTATCGATCACTCGCGAACACCGCCCCCGTTGGACCGTATTGCTATCAAGAATGACTTTTTTCGCCCTTGACAAGTTATCGTCTATAAGAGCGTACCAGCGAGATTTTTTATGGAATATGTAATTTCATATGCTCTTTCAAATGAAACTATTTTCAACTTGAAATTCGATGTCTAGTGGATCATTTTCTATCTAACACCTATCTCGAGATCCTTTCTTCCCTATTTTTGACTAGTATTTCCCAGTGTTCGTCAAGAATAATGTTGATTTGACTTCAAACAAATATCAGATTCGGAATCAGCACACAAAATTGCATCGATCTACATATGTTTCATATCGTTTCTGAGACTTTCATTTTTCCTCATATTACCGACATATCCCTGAGGGGAACCAGGGGGACCAAAATATAAGAAAAAATGAAAGTCTCATAAACGAGATGAAACATATGTAGGTGGATACAGTTTTGTGTACTGATTTCGAATCTGATATTTGTTTGAAGTCAAATCAACATTATTCTTGACGAACACTGGGAAATACTAGTCAAAAATAGGGAAGAAAGGATCTCGAGATAGGTGTTAGATAGAAAATGATCCACTAGACATCGAATTTCAAGTTGAAAATAGTTTCATTTGAAAGAGCATATGAAATTACATATTCCATAAAAAAATCTCGCTGGTACGCTCTTATAAACGATAACTTGTCAAGGGCGAAAAAAGTCATTCTTGATAGCAATACGGTCCAACGGGGGCGGTGTTCGCGAGTGATCGATAGAAAAAGTTTTCAATGCTTAAAAGGTTCTTATAGATTCAGGCAGAGAAAAAAATTCTGCGTCGAATGAGCCTATTTTCAATGAATCTAAATGAGATTTCCATGGACTTTTAGGTCAAAAACTGGTTTTTAGGCCTCTCATAAAGTACTTCAGATCTTTCTTATTTCCCTATTAATCTTTAAAAAACATGATATTTGGAATCAGCACACTTAGTTCTATAAAACTGTAAGGACTTCTAAAGGATTTTGGATAAAAAATTTTTTTCGATCCCTGGGAGACCTCATGGGTCGAAAAATCGAATCATGAAAAAGTGTAATATAAACTCGTGAAAAAGAATCAGAGTTCAATGATGATGATGAAGGAGATATTATATCAAATAGCCTTTCTAATACATCACAACAAAATTTTAAAGGATGTCGAATATACGATGGAATAAATCCACAGCAAATGAAAAAGTATTTTCGAATTAATATTGATTCATCAGTGAGATATATTCATACGCAGACAGCCTGCTGGCTGTTAACGATTAAAAGTCGCTTGTCAAATGATCGATTACAACGCGTTCAAGACGATAAGAAAAAAGCATATTCTTTTTGTTCCAAATAGGTTTTTTGTTGTTCGATTCAGTATTATGAAAAAGTTCTAATACTTATTTTTGTTTAAAAACTTGGTTTTTCACACTGTGTGTGTATTTGAAACAAAACATGTTCTTGAATATTGAAAATAAAGTTCTTTTTGTGAATTATTTCTATATGATTGAACTAAATTAATTTATCAAAAAAAGTGCTGAAAAGGTGCTGAGGTGCTGAGGTGCTGAGCAGGTGCTGAGGTGCCAGGGTGCTGGGTACCAGCACTTTCCCCCTTGATAGAAACACCATAGGAAATAAATGACTCGTTTTTCCTCTAACTCAACAATGGATCCTTCCAAATTAAATTTCGTCAAATTTGATAAGAAGATGAACATCTCGGATTCTGTATTGATTTATTTGTGCTAGAAAATGGTAACGATTATTCTTCTTTTCTGCAATGCGTCAATGTTTAAATAGTGAATAAATTCTTCGAGAATTTTACAAATCGATTAGAAATTAGTTACTCAATTCTTAAACGGTAGAAGAATAATTTTTCATAACAGTGAGTAGCATGATAATAAAATAAAGGGTAGAATTTTTTTTTTCTACTTTTAGAATTGATGATCATAGATAAACAAATCTAACACTTATATGAAAAAGATAAAAGGCTAACAACTCTATTTTGAGTTATCATTTTTAAAATATTATTTATTATGTTAAGTGAAACATTCGATTATGAGATAGATGATCGATTTATATTATATAAAGA